AAAAATACGAATTGTATAACGAATCAAGTCTAATGAACTTTAGAATTTCAAACTTCTACATCCGATGCCGAAATCTATCAAATCAAGTCCGATTGACCTCAAATTTTGTACACAAGTCATAATTGACATTACGAACCTACTCCAAAAATTTTACTCCCGGTCAAACTTCCCAAAAATCATCAAATTTCCAACCTTCGCTAATTAATGCTGAAATGACCTACGGACCTCTAATTCAACATCCGAACATGCTCCTAAGACCAAAATCACCATACGGAGCTATTGGAACCATCAAAACTCCATTCCGGAGTAGTCTTCACATAAATCAGACTACAGTCAATTCTTATGACTTAGACTTCCATTTTAGGGACTATGTGTCCCCTTTCACTCTGAAACCAAAAACAAATCCTCCCAACAAGTTACGTAACCACAAAATAAAATAGAGGGAGCAATAATTAGGGTTTCAGGGCTAATACTCTCAGAACGACTAGCCGGGTCATTACACTTTATGGTTAACAATAGGACAAAAATGAAGTACTCTCATGTGCATATTCCATTCACTATCTATCCAATGGGCAGTGATACACATGTAATTGATTCTTTGTATAGAAGTCCAAGTGTCAGTGGTAATATATACTCTTTGTTTTGTTTCCATAAAAGACCTTCTCAACTTTTGCTTTTCTTCATTAAAAATATCAAAACAATCCCTAGTCACAGTGCTATGATTAGAGATCCGAAAATAAGGGTGTGCCATTTTCATAAAGTCTCTAAAACCTTCTTTCACAACAACGCTGAAAGGAAGCTCATCAACTATTACCATACGATATAACGCCTTCCTACACTCTTTTTGATCAAATTTTCAAGTGACAATAGCTGCATCACCTTGGCTATCCCCCGAAACAGATTGAAAGCATAAGTTTGATTATTTTTTATTAACATTAGCATGATGTTTAGGACACTTAAACATATGAGAAAAAAGTGTCGACGTACCATATTTTGTCTTAAAACAATACTCACAAAAGCAATAGTCACATTTTGCTTTTGTATTCCTTTCGGAAGTAACAACTTTTGTAAAATGATCCCACGCAACAGACCTTTTTCTCATTTTTTGTTATATTCTACTCAGTTGTTTCAGCTTGACTTGCTGCATTTGAATTAGAAGCTCCACTTTCACCCATCACCTTATCACTTTGTATATTTTCAACCATGTTATGACTCACTGCGATAAGAAAAAATGAGCAATGAATACATACATAGACAAATTAATCTGATAAAACGACGCAAAAAAAGGGCGTGACATTATCATAGATCTCTTTCTCTAGTTCTATCTTGAGATGTTGTATTGATGTCATCTTTGGTTCTATCTTGGAATTGTGTTTGTACTGTCTTAATTTTCATGCATATTTTCTGGAAGGTATTGATTAAACATTAGTGGCGATGACTAAAATCATCAATTACTTTATCTGCCTCATTTAAATCGTGATTCATGAACAAATGGCTCGTCCGATTCTTCCATTTTGGTATCAGTTCAAACCGTATGTATGTATTATGTATATATGTTTATCCACAAGCTCAGGGGAAAATTATGTATTCTGCCTATATATACACACATGTACTCGATTGGCAAATTGTAATCATTCTATGCACATCAAAATCACGGTTCCGTCTATGTTCATTCTCTATGAAACATTTTAGATGCTATTATTCTAGAATACCATATAGATTTTGCAAAAACAATTGAGTTGATTGAACATAATGATGATGATCATACAAGTTCACTACCATGAGTTTTCAAAATTAGAATTAAGTCTGACAACCCGTTCAATGGAAGAAGGTAAGAAGCTGATCGCATTGCTATCATGGCAAAGGGAATCAGAAAAACCTTACGTGAAGCTGAAGGATTCTGCTTTTCTAAGCTCTGGTCGAAAGAAGAGCCAAGCCCAAAAGCTTCAGCCTTCAAAAGAGAGACAAGACTAATGGTGGTAGGTTAGGAACTCAGGTTTTTAGTTTTATTTTGCACTCTAATTAGTACACTTTGATTATATTTGAGCATAATTGCTAGTACGCTGTATTTACTGCGTGTGTTATGCCGTGTAGGATGTGATTTCGAATGGAGAAGCAAGTTTGGAGCTAAAATAGATGATTTGGAGCTTTGAAGCCTAAGTAGAAGCCCATAAAATTAAACCGATATCGTGTTCGGAGATCGATGACCGAGTATGCATAGAAAAAATAAGAAAAAATTATTAAGGGAAGAAAACAATGATGCCACATCATAATTTGCATGCAAAAGTTTGGCAGAAGCTAAGAGTTTACATTCTATATTCATAATTGGACATGTCAGCCCACGTGGGTGGACAAGAGTTTGCCTATTTTGTTCATCAGGCATCAAAATTGAACGTTTCAGAAAGAGTCCATAAGTGCGACGCGCAGTGCTGCATGCCTGTGCAAATTTTTCCACAGTTAATCCTATTTCGGCTCAGAGAGGATATTTTGAGTCCAAGCCCGCTCATACTCGGTATAAATATACTGTAAACATAATTTCTGAAGGGGATTCAACCTAAGAGAGTTTTAGAGAGCTATCACGGCGTGAAGACACAAGATTTCATCAATTCTCTTGCCAACAATCAGTGCAAAATGAGAGTTTATATTGTAAAGTTGTCTTTGATATTTTCTATATTCTTAAACTTATTTGTAATGACTTTCTCCATATCTATGGAGTAGTTCTTCCCTAGGGTTTTGACAGATATGGTATTTTGAGTGTTGTTTGTAGATTTAACTCTAATTTAATTGCATGAATTCGTTTATGGTGATTTGAATTGATTGTGAATTTGTTTACCAGTTTATCTAATCGAAAGAGAAATATTTTGGTGATTAATTTTGCATTATTCGGGTTGGTTTAGTTTAGGATTCTTCTAAATAATTGAGAGAGCTTTTTTAATTGTTGATTCAACCAAGTTAGGAGAATATTCGAGAGACGTTTTCCTAATGACTAGCCCATTAATGTGTTCTTGCATATCTTCACAATGCTTCATATTAGTTTATTTTGTAGAGTTCAGATTTAAACGAGAGATGAATCTTGACCTTACGTTTAAGCTAATTATCGAGTGAATTCGTGAGAATCATTAGAACATTAGAAGTGAATTTAAACAGAGTTAAATCCCGAATAACTATCTTACACCTATCATGTTACGACCTTTATTTCTCATATTATTTACAAACTGTTTTAGTTCATCTCTCATTTTCTATGATTAGGTCTAATTAATAGTAGTCTTAATTTAGTAGTTAATTGAAGTAGTAATCACTCTAACTCAAGTGTTGATCCTCCTGAATAGCAATTAAGCCAGAAATTACTCGAACATTGTTTAAATCCAATCCATGTGGAGATGATATTTTTTTATACTATCTTTGATTAGCAAGCATCAATTTCATATTGTGTTTTGCACTCGTCAACTAACAACTTCTCAGTTCGTCACGAGCAGATTCAGGTTGAGACAAGACTGCGTTACTGTGTGACGAGTAACGAGTGATGACTGATGAGCACGAGCAGATTCAATTGAGAGAAATTTTGATTAGGGATTTAGGACTTAGGAAAGATGAGTGAATAGTGATCATTTGTCGACTTCTCGGTTCTCAGCTCTCACTCTCTGGCTGCAGACTGAATTCAATTGAGAATTAGGGATTTAACCATTTAGGGTTTGAATAGTACTTTATATACATAGGGGTAAAATTATAAATATAAAAATTCTTAATGGGTTAAACAGTTTACCCGATAAGAAAATTGAGTAATTTTTCCCCAAACCGTTAAGTATAAAATCTCAATCCATTTACCATCCATTACCCTGATAATCCGATACCAATAAGCCAAGAAATCATCGGTTCAGTTCGGTTAACGGTTTCGGTTTCTGTTTTGAATAACCCTACAAATAACCACCAAGGGGCGTGGGGGAATGGATGGATTCTTCTATGGTCACTGTCCCCTAAGTGAATTCTACAAGGGAAAAATATGCGAGAGATGCTGAATATATAAGGAAGCAAGTCTTAGACCCTAGTGACCCATTTTGAAGTAGACATAGGCTCAAAGCGGGTTTAGTGGGTTGTGCTATTACAGATGGTACCATAGTCACTCCGCGTCAACCTTGGGCGATGGTGGGGCAAACACAAAGTAATCTCAAATCGCCAAAATACGGGAGAGATGTTGGATATATAATGAAGTAAGTCTTAAACCCTAGTTATACGTTTTAAAGTCGTGCGTGCTACCCAAAGCAGACAATATTTATCATATTAAGATATCACTAGTGGGCTAGACTGTTAATTATACTCACCATTTACTAGAGGTCTTGGGTTTGAGCACTGAAAATGGGAAACCCAAGGTAGGGAACATTTTCCCTTTTAATGGGCCTTCTGATAGTTAGGTTAGTGAATTCCAGATACTAGATAATTATAGCCAAAAAATAAGGATAACTAAATCTTTCAATACTCCAGATTAAATTTATCACTAGCCAAATACTTTAGACATGGTCGACTATGCAATTGGTGAATTCGTGCATTGTCAATTAGTTTTTATGGTTTTCATCCGTGTAATCGGACTCTTTAGATTGATTCTCTGGCCATAATTCCCACTGATAGGAGATCATTTATGAATAAACTGATGAGACTTCCATAGTGTTAAATTGAGCTAGAGCTAAGTTTTAGTTCAAGAAACGCTAATAATCTTCCAGTTTAGGTAGCTATATATTTGATGTTGCCTTAAAAGACGATCAAGATGGCAAATTGTAAGATTCTTTAAAAGTATAATATAGCAATGTGCGAAAGGAAGCAATTTTAAATAGCATAACATAATGTAAAACCCTGGGAAACTTCAAACTTGGATAACAAAACGCGTTTCCAATTTCTGCGATGGTAATGGAATAAGATGTTGCAAAACAGTACTAGAATCGGTAACAAAAAAGTAGTCGTACAAAAGTATCAGCAGTTTCTTTTTGAATGAAGAAAAAACGAAATTATAAATTAAACATAGACCAATAAGATTAATTTAAGAACTTCACTAAGAAGTACATACAAGAATCCCAGTGGTTAGAAAGATTATACAACACTGTAGAAAAAGCAGTTACGTTATTCTATGTAGCACCAGCCTCCCCAACTGAGTTGATCTACCATATTAACAATCCTAAAGCTATAGGAGAGCTTCCTTTGATGGATGTAACCTGAAGGTTCGTACTAAAGTGATGAACAATTAGATTTAAATAAGTTATACTCACTGACAATATAATAAACGATCCTAGCCTGCAATCCTTTCGCACTTCTCTTATCAAATTTCTAGTTAGAGAGAGGTTCGTGAATCATGAATCACGATTCATAATCTCACTTTTAACATCTGACCAAGTACCGAATACTGGTAATAGTATCAGCAAATTAACGTTCTCCTTGACTTGCTGAACTCAGTCAACAATTTTACGAGTATCAATATCTTTGGTAATGGCCGGAATACAACTTGAACTCCTAGAAATTCCACCTTTCTTTGGACCATTACCCATAGGATCTCTAGGGCTAAGAGACTTAGCTCTATTCTTTTTCAAGATTTCTCTCATGGCCTCAGCTTGAAAAAGCACAGGATAAGCCCTATCAAACCTATTAAACTTAGAACATGCATTCATATGCTCATTTAAAGCCTCTTCTAATCTTTTGCCTCCATTCTTCTCCATCTCTTCCTTCACTGCTTCAGAACACAACCCACAAATCAATTTCCCTGAAAATTTCTCCCTAACTCTCTTAATATAGTTAGGTGTGCATTCCTCAGACATGCCACAACACTCACACTTGGCATCTTCAACTTCTGAAATTGGAGGAAGCTTCTTATTATCATTATCATCAGATATTACTACTTCTTTGCTAAGTTCAAATGAGATATCGGATATTGTTCTTTGTAGACCATCCATGGGAAGTTTTGGAGGATTTTGAGTGACTTTTTTGTTAGTTTGATTTGTCCCAACAATATTGGTTTCCATGTTAGGTGCCATAAAAGGAGAAAATGAGGGTGTTGTTCTTGATAATGATGAGTATTTGGTTTTGCAAGATTTGAGAGAGGGTTTTCTTGAAGATGAGTTCAACTACCTACTATAAGTATAGAACAATTGTATCTTAAGCTTCCAATTTATACTCCAATTCAATCTTCTATTGAAGGAAACCTATATATGAGAAGTGTATGTAGACAATACGTCTCAAGTCAGCATTTAATGTTTGAGTGCCTTTGAGTGAGTAAGAGGAGAGAGACAAAGAAAAGGGGAGAGTAATCTTGAATCAACTAGATTTTTCATGAGCATATGATAATTATACAATCAATAATTTAATCTATGTTTTTTCTTGTTTTTAAAGTTGGAGTATATTGATTATAATTTGACCTTACATAGTTAGGTGTGTTTCAAATATCACTAAAGGTCTTTTCCCTCTTGTTCATTTCTTTTTTTACTTATTTACAGGATCATCGTTCACCTAAAAAAACTACTTAATAAATAAATAAAAACAATCATATTATTTAGTAGCTTTATTTTAAGCAACTCGAGTGATTAAACTTACAATGGTTATTCCTATTGAAATACTGGAAAAATAATATTAGCATTTCTGTTGTAGGATATTTATTGTTCAATATGTAGTGTCGGGAAATATTATTAACGGTACTTTCTTACCAAGTCATAAGTAAAATATAATTTAATTACATAATCCAATTATTTGCGTTGTCCCTATTAGAAGCGAAGGGTTTGTTCACGGGAACAGCCATTACCATCCCCTTTTTTTTGTTGGAAGAAAATGAAACCATGAAAAGTAGAAAAGGAAAGAAAAGAATATAATGACCTTTTTATGTCCTTTTAACCTATATATGAATAAATAGTTTGATAAAGTAAAATTTAGTTCACGAGAAATAAACAAAAGGCAAAATTGGAACTACCATCTACAAAGAAAAGAAACTAAACATTGCTTTAGTTTGTGATAGATTCACATGAATCTTGAAAATAGAAGGAATCAAAAAGGGTGTTGTTCTGTGTTTGCATTATATTGCTTTGATCGATGATGGGTAAGTTTAACTTACTTTGTTCTCAAATTAAATAGTTTTTGCTTTCCTTTTTCTGAATCGTTTTTCCTTTACCCTACGAGAACATTAGCATTGCCTAATGTAAAAATGTGCATCTTATTAGTTTATAGCTCAGATTATCTTCGTTTTGGCCTGTCTTCATCCTTTTCATTTAAATTGCCAGGAGTATGCCCTTGACAAATTGAATGCTAAGTACGCATTAACGAAAATATTGCCTCTTTCTTAATTTATGTGGCATTTTTCGCTTTTGGAGAGTCAAACAAGAAAATCATTGACCATAATTTATTCGTATAACCTGTAAAATATTTGAATAGTTAAATATTGTGATTTATAGTATTTTTTGTAGGTTCTAATTATGTAAATTATTTTTAAAAAAAGTTAAAGATTATATGTCCGAATTTACGGTTAAAATAAAGAAGTCTGACTTTCGAAATTAGGGGAAGTTAAAACAAAAAATAAGGGGTGGGGGGAGTGTTTTCGACTTTCTTGATATGGATAACTTTGAATACAAGAGTTCCCATAAATATTTTTTTTAAAAGAGTTCCCATGGATTTGTCGGTCATTTAATAGCTTAAATAAGTATTATGCTGAATTCTTATTTGTTCTTTCCACTTATTCACTTATCCACATGAAATCTGGAAGGGGAAGGGGGGCGGGGGGGTATTAACTATTTCAATTTACCATAGTTAAGCAATTAAATGAGGTGAGAATAATGATAAATCATGAAGTGAGTCAATTATTAATCAAGTACTTTTAAGAAATTTTCAACTACTAGTGATCACAATATAGTCCAAACCGCAAAAGGGAGTCAATTATTTTTCACTAAAACTTGTATAAAAATTTTGCGAATTGTTAATTTGTATTATAGTTCACATTTGGATTTACAACAAGGTGTTTGGCTGCTTGACTTAACACCATCGAATATTATGACATATATGAGAACGAAAATAAAGAGAGCAATAATTCCAACGGATTTGAAATTTATCCGTCCGTATTTGCTTTGCAATGCATTCTGCTATAGTTCTTTTCTCTCCCATAGCAAAAAAAAACTGCTATTAATGATGCACAAAGTAAAAACACCTCCACCTAAGGCCGTTGGGTCTTGTGTTCGAGTCACAGTGGATGAGAAATATTGAAACACTATAGATCCTCCTAATTTGGGAGGGGTTTAAAAAAAAATAATGCACAAAAACACTTTTGAATTTTTGGTCAAACATTTCAAATCTTCAAAGAAGTGTTTTTCTTTTCCGAAAAAATAAAGTGTTTTTATCCTTCAAGAAACTTGACCATATAAGAGAAAGAAGTTGCTACTGGTCAAATACTCAAATCCCACTCACACATCCGAAGGAATACATATTTAATTTTAAGCCACCAGCTCCACTTAAACCTTCTTGTCTAATTTTTCAATCTATACATCAAGCTGAAACAACCAACATTCTGCGGTGCTCGTAGTAACATGCAAGACAAGGGCTCCAGCCCACCTCAATCTCATTCTCAATAAGCACTTCTTTTCTTTTTGTTGATATGAGTGGTTTTGGTTTTATATTGACAAAGGAACACATATATGAACCAAGTATATGGATTGTGTACACAGGTTACGGTCAGATTCAAGCAAAGGTATGCACGTTCAAGGGATAAGTATAAGTAGTTATTTCTGATAATCTTCGAATGAAAAGATTGCATAATTGATAAGGAGCATGACTCCTTACTTGAAGAGAACTCTATCCAAGATAAGAAAAAAGTTATAAGTTGAAGATAACTGGAACTCTTCTATCAAGGAAGAGTAAAATATTAGACCTCTAGTTAATCTTTATTCTACTAATTCTATATGTATGTGACGACCCGATAGCTCATTTTGTGTACTAACCCTTATTTTTGTGTTTTGAGACCTCTATTAGCTCCATTTAATATTTTTCGATTTGCGTACATAATCCGTATCTTTTTCGAAAAGATTTTACTTGAAAATTTGAAGAAAACATAATTTTTGGCTTTGAAGATAACTTGAGTTGACTACGATCAATATTTTATTTAGACAATCCCGGATAGGTATTTTGGCAATTCCGGTGGGTTCGTATCATAATTTTGGACTTGGGCGTATACTCGGAATTGCATTCGGAAGTCCCTAACTTGATTTGACTTGTTTTGTTGAAAGCTAATAACTTGAAGGTTTAAAGATGTGCTAGGTTTGACCGTAGGTTGACTTTATGGCTATCGGGTTCGGATTTTAATTTTGGGACTTGGTATAGGTTCATTTTGCTATTTGAAACTTATCTACAAAATTTGGTGCAAATCAGAGTTGGTTTGATAGGATTCAGACACTCGGTTGTCAATTTGGAAGTGCTTGAGTTTCTTTGAAAATTTCATGCATTTTGATGTCTGATTTGTAGTTCTAGGTATTATTTTTGTATTTTGACCGTGCGAGCAAGTTTGTATGATGTTATTGCACTTGTGTGCATGTTTGGTTTGGAGCCCGAGGGGCTCTGATGAGTTTCAGATATGCTAGATCATTTTGAACTTAGAAAATTGATGGTTTCAACTATTTGCTGATGTCTGGTGCTTTGTGCTTCGCGATCGCGAAGATGAACTTGGGGCTGGGGCGGATTTCTTCTTTATGAACGTAGGGGATTGATCATGAACGTGAAGTTGTGGAGGGCTTACCCTTCGCAAACACGACCATCCTCACACGAACGCGAAGGTTTAGGGGATTCTGGGGGAGGCAGCCTATAACTCTACGCGAACGCGAGCGTTGGCTCGTGAACGTGAATGCCAGGTGGGTTAATCCTTCGCGAATGCGAGGGTTACATCGCGAACGCATAGGCCTACTGGGACGCTATGCATCGCGATCACGTCAAGTGCTTCGCGAATGCGAAGAGCACCTGACGCACTGTGATTTAAACATTTCAAAATCGGGAATTCTCATCATTTTCACCATTTTCAAGTTTGAGCTCGGCCTAGAGGCGATTTGAAGAGATGTTTCCTCGAAACTTGATAGGTTAGTAGATTTTAACTTGTTTCATTATATTTCCATAATCACTTATTGATATTAAGCTTTAATCAAATTTTTTATGGTAGAAATTAGGGATTTAGTAGAAATTGCAAATTTTGAGAAATTGAGATTTAGACCTCAAATTGAGGTTGGATTTCGAAACTAATGGCATAACCGGGCTCGGGGTGAATGGGTAATTGGATTTTGGTTCGAATATCGAATTTTGACCAAGTCGTCCAGGGGTTGACTTTTTCAACATAACGCGGGGTTGACGTCGTTGGCTTGGCAATCCCAAGTTAATGTTCCACAAGGTGACCCCAACATGATTCACCTCCACAAAGAGTTGCAAGACCATGGGTAAGCCATTTCCGAATTGACAACAACCATGACTCAACTAGAAAAGGCCCAACTTAATCAAGTGCAAGCTCCTAAGCATGTTCATGCTATGGAGGGAGTAAATGTGATGATGAACAAGAAGAGGACCAAGGGTCCACAAATTCAATCTCGAGTGGAGAATTATGTGCAAGATAACAGTAGTTTTGATCAAGATGATTCTTGTCTTGAGCAAGAAGAAGAGGTCCAATGTGTGAACAATTTTCAAGGGCAAAGGAATAAATTTCAAGGCTCCAATCAACAACAATGGCGACCACAAAATAAGTAAGGCAATTGGAGTTACTTGAGCTTATGTAGAAGCGATTTTTGACAGATTTTCAAGGAAAAATATTTGGGTAAGTGATTCTAACTCGGATTTGGTCATTATACATGAATATATCATTATTTTCACCATTTAATTAATGCATCGAGATAAAAATTTGGAAAACTTTTAGAAATCTCATAAAAATGAATTTTTGAGATTTCGGTGTCGATTCAGAGTCGGATTTGAGTGAAACTGGTATGGTTGGACTCGTAATTGAATGGGTTGTCGGATTTTGTAAGTTTCGCCAGATTCCGAGACGTGGGCCCCACGGGCGAATTTTGAGCTAATTTTGGACTTTATTAAAAAATATAGTATTTCTAATGAAATTGATTCTTATAAATTTTGTTGACTGTATCGAATTAATTATGACTAGATACGGGTCGATCG